AGAGGCCTCTGAGAGCGTGAAGGCGCAGAGGAGTCTTTTGCTTCTGAAGCCCATGGCTGAGCCTCGGTCCCTATCTGTGAGAGGCGGGTGCTGGTGTGATGAAGCACAAGGTACCTGGTGCAGTCTCCAACTGAGCGCCCACGGCTTGCGAGGACGGGGTGCTGTCACCGACCTTGTTGAGGCACAGAGAGGTGAAAGTGACCCAGCCAGGGGGTGGAAGAGCTGAGGAGGTGGCACGTGGGTCTGGGAAGCTCCTCAGCCTGTGTCTCCGAGGCCTACGTCTGCTCTGTCCCTGGAAGCTGTGCCCCCAGCCAGCTCAGAGGCAGCAGTCACAGGCGAGGACCTAGAGACACAGGCTTATAGACCCCACTTTGCTGTGCGACTCTGAGAAAGTGGCTTTGCCTCTCTGAGCCTTGGTCTCTACTTCTAGAAAATGGGGGTTAGTAACGTGGGCCTCAGTTTCTGCCCCTCCTCTAACCGTGAGAGGTTGGACAAGTTTCTTAGTTCCCCTAGGCACTTTCCGGGGTAGCACTTTCCGGTAGTTGCTCCCTGCAACTCAGGCCAGGGTTCGGAGACTCACAATTAAGTGACTTGCCCAAAGCCACCAGCAATCTTGTGCCCAGGATTTCTGGGAAGAGAAATCCCAGTAGGGGGCGGGCAGGGGGCCAGATCCACAGGATGGTGGAGGGGGATGGGGGAGTGGACGGAGATGGAGGTGCAGGTCCAGGGCTGGTCAGGATATCCTGCCCTCTGGCAGGGGCAAAGCTGCCCCCCACTACCACCCCCCAGGTCACAGGCCTCCCCCTGTTCCTGTAAATAATTAATTAGCTCCTGCTTGCTTGTTTGTTTAGCATGAGGAATGCTCCCCTACTGAGATGCATTTATTGCTGAATAAATTTAAATATCTAATCTTCCCCTCATGAATATTACAGTACCCTAAATAGCCGCCAACATATCCTAAGTGCCTTGGCTGATGGCCCCACTGGAGCCCGCTGCCGTCGCCCGCCCATGGTGGTTCTGAGGGGGGCCCCGCTGCAGCCCGCCCTGTCCCCGTCCTCAACACCCTTCCACCGGGAGGCGATGGATGGAGGCCTCACGAGCTGAGCCTCCAGAGCCCTGGGCTGAGTGCAGGGGGGGTCCCAGGCCACGTCAGACCAAGCAGGAAGGTGTCCAAGGCCAGGGCAGAGGGTCAGGGGCTATGCAGAGAGAGGCAGAGAGGGGTCTCCAAGGGTTTCGGGCGAGGCAGACATTGTCCCCAGCAGCATCTGAGGAGTGGCCTGGGGAAGAGCTGGCGAGGGAGATGGAAGAGTTCAGGGGAGGGTTAGGGGAGGACAGGGGAGAGCGGGGTCCCCAGAGAGCCTTTCAGGATGGAGGTGGCAATCAGCCAGGTGGGGACAGCTGGACAGTAGAAAAGATAAGCGGCCTCAGACCACTCAGCAAGATAAGTCCCCAAAGCACTCCCTCTGTTAGGATGGGGATGTGTCGATGTGGGGAGGGGACAGGAGCAGGCTGTAGGGGCTGGCAGCGAGGCGGGGCATATAGACGAGGCCTTCCCAGAGGGTGTGGACGCAGCCTGGGTAGGGGGTCGGGGTGGGAGGGGAGGGACAAAGCTCTTCTTTTATGGTTCTAGAAGTAGAGCCACTGAGCTGGGGGACCCAGCCTGCCAGCTGCGTGACCCTGGGCAAGCTTCCCTCTCTGTGCCTCAGTGTCTTCTTCTGCCCAGCAGGGAAATGAATAGTGCTCCTCAGGTGGCTGTGCGGATCAAATGAGAGAAACGAACGTGACTCACCCGCCTGGCCTGGCAGGAGCTGCAGAGGCTGCTGTCCAGGGCATCAGGGAGCCGGATGGGGGCGCTAAGGGGAGAGGGCAGAGCGGGGACCGTAGGGGTCTTCTGGCCACTGCAGAAGAAGGGTTCATTCTTGGCCTGGTGGAGAGACATCTGAGGAAGGCCCCGCCACCCTGGTGTGCTGTCTCTCCAGGTTTTCTGCTGACTCAGGTGGGGTTTGAGCTAAAGGTTTGAGGCTTGTTTGGGTGGCTAAGGGACCTGGAGAGGCGACTAAGTTGTTGGTCAGCTGGTATGAACTGGGGACAACCGACCTCCCACCAGGTAGCCCTAGGGGCCAGGGCTTTTTCTAGCTGCTCTTGGGTCAGGTGGGAAGGGGAAAGGAGGGACATCTCCCTTAGAGGGGACCCCAGGAAGCCTCCTCCTCCAAGTCTCCAGGGCTCAGCTTAGCCCAAGGTAAGAGCCAGGACAGGGCTTGAAGGTCAGAGCCAAGGGAGTTGCTATGGGAGTGTGTGTGGGAGGGGGGCCCTCGGGCCTATGACTAAGGACAGCAGGGCTGGGGGCTCCCTTCTGCACTCAGGGGTGGGAGAGAGAAAGAAGGCTGGTGCATGGAGAGGGAAGGAGGCAGGCAGGAGGGGCCAGGGTGCCGAGACCCCAGTGCCAGGACCATTCTGCGCTTTGGCTTGTTGGGGGGGATGGCGGGGTTGGGGTGATGCCCAGGGCCTGTCCCTCACCTCCGCTTTGGGGAACCCGTCTCCTTGGTGCCTGCAGAGCAGTCACCTGGCCCTGGCCTGGTTCTGGAAACTGCTGGGGGTGGTGCTTCAGCTCAAGTCCTCTGCTAGCACCAATTTCAATCCTACCTCCCTCATGCCCCCAGGTCAGCCCCAAAGGCCTGGCTGCAGGCCTGTTCACTTCTGCAGGAAACATTAAGTCCCTGAGACACGGATCTCACTGAGCTCGACTTCCGCACAACCCCCACTGCCGGCCAAGGTCACCTATGGGGTGTTAGCACCAGGAGATGGCAGGCAGCCCAGTGCCAGGTGGCTGAGACCACTGGGGCAGAGCCGGGAGACTCCTAGGAGAGCTGGCTCGGACACATCCCTATGCTCGTCCCCATATACCATGAACACTGAGCCCACCCACCTCCCATCACACTCTCCACTGTACACATAGCCTGAACATGCCCATATTGTCATAATCAGTCAACACCCACATGGCCTCCACTCTTGCCTAGCACTGGCTTAAGTACGTTACAAGAGTTAACTCGCGTAATCCTTCCAAAGGCCCTATGAGGTGGGTACTACTATTATCCCATTTTACAGATGGAACAACTGAGGACCAGAGAGGTTAAGTGTCATGCCCTGGGTCACATATCTGTGACCGGCAGCGCTGGGATTTGAACCCGGGCTGCCCAGCTCCACAGCCTCTGCTGCTGCCCACTGTCTTGGGTGCTCCCATGGCACCTCCACCTGGCACAGATGCCGGCAGGTGAGCCCCAGGCCGTGCACCCACCCGCTGCAGCACCTGGATGCGCGCGGCTCCAGCCCAGCCTTGCCTTGAGTCTCATTCTTAGCCTCCTCCCCATGGGCTGCAGCTGCCTTTATCCCTGCATAGGAAAGGAAGGGGCCACTGCCAGGGTTCTCCTAACCCCTCTACCCCCCACCCCAGACACCCCTGAGATGCTCTGGGAAATCGCCTGGTGCCAGCTCCAAGTGAAGTCGCAAAATTAGGTTTAATTGGGCCCCACAGGGCACAAGAGAAAACAGAAGAAAGGGGGGTGGTCCAGCTGGTGTCCCTGGACCTGTGCCGAGACGTTGGAGGGGTGTGATGAAGGAGAAAGGGCCTTGATTTGTGCATCAGTAAGATGGGGAAACGGTGGTCCTTTCCTGTGGCCAAGCCGCCTGAGCACCAGCCAGCCGGCGCCCGGGGAGCTCCTGGCACAGGCCTGAGGTGCCATCAGAGCTGCCAAAGCTGGGCCATGTTCTCCTGGCCTGCACGCCCACATTTTCCAGATGAGGCAGTGGACGTTCAGAGAGAGGAGAGGCCTTGCCAAGGTCTCCCAGCCCAGCAAAGGTTTGACCAGGGCCTGCCTGGGCCGCTCAGGCCGCGCCGGGGAGGCCGGGCTGCAGGAGTGTGTCCTGCGCGCCTCCTGCCTCGCGCAAGTTGTTTATCTGGGCCTAGGTCCCCAGGGTCGCTGGCGAGGACCGGGGGCCGCCCTCGGAGAAACAAGCCTAGGCCTGGTCCCAATTAAGCCGGATGCGCTAACGAGGCGCCCATTAACCAGCAGGGGTTTGCGCACCGGAGACACCTGAGCGGCCCAGGCGCCGTGGCCCTGGCCACCTTCGTGCGTGGCGCAGGGAAGAGGCTGAAAGACCCAGGCCCCCGATCGAACCTGCCAGGTAGCACCCGTAGCTACCTGGCCTCCGCTTCTTCTGTAAAATGGGTCCTAGAGTTTGTCGCAGCCTCGTGGGCCGTTGTCTTGGGAGGTGGGCTTGGGATCGGACCCGACACTGAGGCCCGGGAGGAAGCGGCAACTAGTCGCGGGCCCCGCGGCGCGTCCGGGACAGAGCCTGGAAGGCGAGCTTCCCCTCGCCCCGGCGCCGGCTCCGGCTCCGGCTCCGGCTCCGGTTCCTGCCGCAGCGGACCCCGCCCCAGCCTGGGAGGTCGCAGCCCAGCCCGAGCCCCTGCAGCGCGGCCGGGAACGAGCAGGGGAGGCCGAGCGCGCCCCCCGGGAGGAAGCGGCAACTAGTCGCGGGCCCCGCGGCGCGTCCGGGACAGAGCCTGGAAGGCGAGCTTCCCCTCGCCCCGGCGCCGGCTCCGGCTCCGGCTCCGGCTCCGGTTCCTGCCGCAGCGGACCCCGCCCCAGCCTGGGAGGTCGCAGCCCAGCCCGAGCCCCTGCAGCGCGGCCGGGAACGAGCAGGGTAGGCCGAGCGCGCCCCCTGTCGGCCGCCCCGCCCAGCTTCCGCCAGGGCCGGCTGCGGCCCGTCTCTGCGCCCTGGTCTCCCCAGATGTGAAACAGACTCGGGCTGGGGTAATAGAAGCGGCCGGAGGCCGCGGGGGCAGGACACGGTGAGTCCTAGCACAGCCGAGGAGGCTTCTTGGGATTGGGAACATTCAGCCCATCGGCCTCAGCCTTCCCTTTGAAACGTGGGGTCAGCCACGCCTGACTGCCTCAGGGACGCGGGGGGCCCCTCGGCTGACTCCCCCTCCCCCGTAGTGGACGGCTGCATTCACCGGGCCGCCGGACCACTGCTCACCGACGAGTGCCGGACCCTGCAGAGCTGCGAGACCGGCAAGGCCAAGATCACCTGCGGCTATCGGCTGCCGGCCAAGTGTGAGTCCCCGACAACCCCCAGATGTGGGGCGCAGACAGGGCCCCGGTAACTGGGGCCTTAGGGGTGCAGTCCCTGCTGAATTGCCGGGGGCCTCCTCAGGGGGCGCTTCTTAACCGTAAGGGACGGACCTGGCCTCTCCTCGCACGCTCCAGGAGCAGGTGGGGCGCGTGGGCTGGGAGCAGGGACCTGAAGGGAGGGGAGGAGCCTTCATGCACCCACTCGAGCCCCGGGTCTCCGCTGAGTCCACGCAGGTGAGGGAGGGGGCGCGGCGCGGGCCTGCTTGCGTCTGTCCAGCTGTGGGCGTGCGGTCCTGTGCACGTGGGGCTTCAGGCTCGAGGACACACCCATGGTCCCACACGGTTGTGGTCCTTCTTCTGGGGAGTCTCAGAACCCCAAGGGGAACAGAGGGCTGGTCCCCCCGCCCCCCCAGCTCAGGCTGGCAGGGGGAGAGAGCGCGAGCCAAGGACCCCGGCCAACCTGACGCCGTCGCCCCCCGCAGACGTCATCCACACGGTGGGGCCCATCGCCCACGGAGAGCCCAGCGCCAGCCAGGCTGCCGAGCTCCGCAGCTGCTACCTGAGCAGCCTCGACCTGTTGCNTCACCCCCGCCCCGCCCCCAGGCTACCCCAATGAGGCGGCGGCCGAGGTAGTGCTGGCTGCACTGCGTGAGTGGCTGGAGCAGCACAAGGACAAGGTGGGCCTGGGCCCGGTCGAGGGCTGGGTGGCGGAGCGCGGGGCCGGCCGGCTCCGGTCCGTGCCCGCCCTCTCTGGGGTGCACACCCCTGAACCCCTCCTGTGGCGGGGGCAGGACAAGGCAGGTGAAAACCTGCGGGGGCGGGATGGGGGTAAGATCGAGGATAAGATCGAGGAGCAGGGTGTGGGTGGCTCCTGCCCAGGCTCAGCAACCCCTGGCGCAGGTGGATCGGCTGATCATCTGCGTGTTCCTCGAGAAGGACGAGAACATCTACCGGCACCGGCTCGCCCACTACTTCCCCGTGGGTACGTGCCCTGCGCCCCTCCCCCCCTGCCAAGGTGCCCGCCCCTCGGCCAGCCCCCGCCCCTCGCCCACCCCACCCTGGGGCAGGCTCTCACTGTCCTCTGCCTTCCAGCCTGAGGCTCCCCGCAGCCCACCCTGCCCGGGACTGGTAAGCAGGGCCTGGCCTGCCGTGTGGCTGCCCTAGACTAACCTGCCCACTAACACACCTGCTCATACCCACGCAGGGAGGAGAGGGAAGCCAGGGAGGCCGCCTGGGAGGACGAGGGGAGCCCACAGCTCCCTCTGACCTCTCTGCTCTGCCCTCAGACCTGCCTGTGCCTGTGCCACCTCGCTCCCAGCTCTGAAGTCACCAAGCCTGCAGCTGTGCCTGGGCCAGGCCACCCCTCTTCCCTTGGTGCCCTGCCCCTAAGGAGCCTCCTAATAAAGATCACTTGTTGCCACTTCTCCTGTCTGAGCTGAATGGCGTGGGGCTGGGGTTGAGGGAAGCAGCCCAGAGGTGTTGGTGGAGCCCTTGGACAGGAGCTTTGGCTTTCAGGGGCTGGCAAGAGCTCTTGGTGAGCCAGGCAGGTGGAGGCGCAGGCCAGACGGCAGAGGCAGCAGCAGCACTTCACATTTATTGAGGGCCTGCCCCGCGGACCTCACAGCCTGGGGGCTGAAGGCCCACATGAGCTGGGGTGGGGGAGAAAAGAGGTGAAGGCAAGAAGGCAGGCAATGCAGACACACGGTGGCCCAAGCAAAGGGGTGCAAAGCAGGCACAGGCAGGGGCCCAGGGGAAGGGTGGGGGGAAGTGGGGGACTGGCAAGTCCTGCCTAGATCTGAGGACTGTGAGCCAAGTGCAGAGTTGAAGGTTACCCCTCCCCCACCAGGTAGGCACCACCTGGGGGCACACTGGGTGCCCCCCGCTCCTCCACCTGCCCTGAGCCAGGCCCCAGCATCACATCGCCCTCTCCATCCAGGACTCCCTGACCGTGCAGATCGGGTGGAGGGTAGGGAGCTGGGTCTGGGACCCTGGCCAGGACGGTAGAATGAACGCAGGGCCTGTGAGGGAGCAGCTTCAAGTGCTAGTAGCCCTGGGACCCTGGGTAAGTCCCCAAGGAATTTAGATTCCCATGGAAACCACTGGGCCAGCTAAGGAGGAAAGGGGCGAGGACTTAAGGAAGCAGAACTCCAAGTAGCCAGGAGGGGTCCCCAAGAGGACTGGCCCCCTCAAAACTGTTCCTCGTAGGGAAGCCTGGGGGTAGACAGATGGAAAGCTGGGGGAACCCACCTGGGGGGAGGGTCATAGCCAGACACACAGCAGCCAGGCGGGCAGCAGTGCAGGGACAGGCACACACGCGGCTCACCACCAGCATCCCCTTTAATAAAACATGGAAGGTTGTATGACAGGAAAAAAGGGGAGGAGTGAAATACGACCATTTACAACCACAAAAAAAAACCTCTGTACATGTCTAGCGCCTGGCAGAGGGGAGGGCAGGCAGGGCAGCGGCAGGCCAGGGCCAGCCCTATTTGTAAAGGATGTCGTAGTGTCCAGGCCGGTAGAGAAGGTAGACCTTGGGCTCGGAGCCCTCCGGGAAGACATGCGGGTTGGTGGTGCCGCCCTCACCGCGGTCCATGTACTCCACCTGGATGGAGACGCTGAGGGCCTGGGCCAGCGCAATGATGTGGATGTGGTCACTCTCCTTGCACATGGGCTCCACCTCCTGCGGCACAGGGGCAGGTTAGGGCTCGACTTACCGCCCCTCCCCATGCCCCTGCAACTCCTGTTGCTCTCCCCAGGGAGAAAAAAGGGAGGGTCCCAAGTCAGACAAGTGGGGAGGGGGCGGCACCTGCTGGCAGAACTCCTTGACAGTCCGCCCGCCCTCGATGAAGTGCTCAAAGAACTTGCTCTCCCGCTGCAGGTAGCCTGAGGTGAGCAGCCGCAGGTAGACCACAAGGTAGTCTGAGGTGCTCTGGTCATTGAAGGAGGCCAGCAAGTCAGCTACGGAGACCTGCTTCTCCACCTGCTCAATCAGGTCCATGAACTGCCCCCATGGAGGGACAAAGGGTAAGATGAGGGAGGAGGAGATGGGTCGACCCCACCACAGCCAGGCAAGCTACCCTCCACCCTGGCAGAACCCAGTACAGGAGCATCAGGGCTCACCGTGTTGTGGAAATCCTCAATTGTAAACTCAGTGAAGCCCTGGGACACCAAGTCCTCTTTGCTCTTGGCAGACACAGCCTTGAACCTGTGGGCGGGAGGGAACGGAAGGCCAGCATGGGCTCCCCAGCCAGCAGAGCAAGAGCCCAGAGAGGCTGGCCCAGGGGCAAGGGCCCAGCCAACACTGTCTGGCCAGCCTCAGACAGGCCAGTCCCCACCCCCAGCTCAGAACAGAAGCCCCAAGCAACCTGTCCTCTGGTGTGATGCAGAACTACACCTCCACTTCATCCAGCAAGAGGAGGGAGCCCCGCAAGTCCCTCAGGTGAGCCCTTGCCCACCTCCTTCAGTGCCCAAGTGCCCACCCTCCTCACCGTTGCAATTCCTTGCTGTCATCCAGCAGCGCCTCCAAGTGGGAGAATCCAAAAGCTCGATAGAAGCAGTTTCCATCAGGCCTGGTCTTCCGGATGTATGAGTACTTTTTGTGAAGGTCCTACAGAGGAGCAGCCCCCACCCGCAACCCGTCAACATCAGGCCAGAACCAGGGCTGGCCAAGGAAATGCCCCCCTAACAGTCACACCACAACAGGTGGCAACTGAGCTCCAAGCATCCACCTGCTGCTGTTCCTGGCTCCTGACTCCAGGCTGCTGAATGTGATGACAGGAGCCACTTAGTGACCCACTGCCCAGAGCACCCCAAGAAAGCATCAGGAGGGGCTGACCATTTAACCCAGTAGGTAAGAGTGTGGTGTTGATACCACCAAGGTCCAGAGATCAATCCCTGTACTGGCTGGCAGCCAAAAAACAAAACAAAACAAAAAAGCCTCAGGAAGCTGCACACTTATGTACAAACTGGTTGAATGGGTCACCAAAGCAGTCACCAGCCACGGGCCATGCCATGTTGCTGGATCTGGAGGGCTGTTTGTTTACAAAAACAGGCAAGTGAATCTGTCCTTGACCAATGCAGCTTTTCCAGCCCTTCACCCCAAGAGAACTTCAGGGCAAGCAAGGCAGAGCAGGGGGGCACTTTGCCAGGCTCTATGCCTCGGTGGGGTGTGAGCCCCCCCACTGAACAGCCCACCCCGCCCCCCCGACTGAGAGCAGTCCTCCCACAGCCAGGCCTTTGCTGCAGTCCTCCCAGGGCTGCAACAGTCTCTCTTGTCTACTTCTAGATCCTTCCCTGCCTCACAGGTATGATCTCCATTCAGTCTTATCTGGTTTCCTCCCAAAATGAAATGGAATTTCTTCTGTCTGTTGCACCTCCCCACGCTAGTCGGCTGACGGTGCCTCCTGGCAGGGACGCTTCCCTCCCCTGGCCTGGGCCCCTGCCCCTTCCCCAATGGCTAGGCTATTTCATGCCTTCTCCACTCTCTTGAACCCCTACCCTTTTCCCCTACCCTCCTCCCTCCTCAGACCATGACCTTGTGTCCTTTTGCACTGAGAACCTCCTCAGCCCCCAACAGCCTCGATCTCCAGAGATCTGTCCTGGCTGCTACCTAAGCTGCCCTTCCCCTCCACACCAGCCTGTCCCCTCCCTCAGGTTCAAGCCTACCTCTCCTCCTGCATCATCAGTTTTTCTCTCTCTACTGGTTTACAGCTTTAGACCCACACAACATATAAACATACAGTTAGTTCTTGCTCTAAAAAGAAAAAACCTGGACTTCATATACCTTTCCAGTTACCGCCCAATTTGTCTGCTTTCCTTTACAGTAAAACTCCCCATAAAATTGTCTACACTCACTGTGGCCACTTCTCTCTGCCATGGGAGACTTTGCGTCAGTCAAGGTCACTAAGTTGGAGGGTTAAGCCACTCCTCCTCAGACTGGCCCCTCAGCAGCACTGAGGCACCTGGATGGTGGACCCCACCCTCTCCTTATCTCCCTCCTCCCTCCGAGGCACTCCTCCTAATCTCTGTAAGTTCTCTTTTTTTTGTCCTTTTTGAGACCGGCCGCACTGTGCTCAGCGCACCGGTCATCCCTATATAGGATCCGAACCTGCGGCGGGAGCACTGCTGCACTCCCAGCACCGCACTCTCCCGAGTGCACCACGGGCTCGGCCCATCTCTGTAAGTTCTGAAAGTCAGGGCCACCACCACACCATACAGCACCCTTCCTCAAGACACCGTGTGTCACCTGCCAGAAGATGGTCATGACACATACCCGATACACAGTGCCCCTGCCAGGGGAACCACGAGCCTGCACAACCCTGCTCAGGCCTAGGACAGCTTCCACTTTTAAACTATACTTGTTTTCTTGATGACAGCAGTCTTGAGGATTAAATAGCCCCAAATACAAATCTTCACCCACATCTTAGCCCTCAACTCCGATTTTGGCTCTCACATCCAACTGCTTCCCCACACCTCCTCTGGACTGTCCACAGGCAGCCGAGCCTTGACCTCCCACTAACCTGCTCCTCACTGGGGCCTCCCCACATCAATCCACCACAACTCTGGCTGTCAGCTGTTCAAGCCCAGCAGATCCTCTCAGCTCTACCTTCATTGTATCTACTATCCAACTGCTTTTCGCTGCTTAACTCTACCACCCTGCTCCCAGTCACTCCCACCTTCTGCAGGTTTTACTGCAAGAGCCTCCTGGCAGGTCTCCCTGCCTCCCCTTCGCCCCCTGGAGTCTATTCTCAGCCCAGCAGCAAAAGTGACCAGAGTAACCTGTTAGACGTGCCCCATCACACTCACTCACGCGCGCGCGCGCGCACACACACACACACACACACACACACACACACACACACACACACCCTCCTTCCCTCTCCTGCTCCCCACTCTGCTCCAGCCACACTGGCCTCCAACTGCCAGGGCGCCCTCCCGCCGCAGCCTGTGTGGCTCTCAGATGCCTTGCAGCTGGCTCCCTTGCCTCCTTCCATTCATTCATTACTCAAATACCAGCTTCTCAGTGAGGCCTTCCCCGACTGCCCTAATTGCAAACCCTCCCACTCCCAATCTCCTTTCCCTTCTTTATCTTTCTGCACAGCACTTACCACCTTCTGACAAACCACACATTTTAGTTCCCCCTTTGGCTTTCCACGCTGAACTGTAAGCTTTATGAGAGCAGGAGTTTGTCAGTTTTAGTCATCACTCTATCTCCAGTACATAAAACAGCACCTTGACCACAGTACATGCTTGATAAGATGTTAAATGAACAGCACACAGTGACTACAAAGAGCCCAAATCATTGTCACTACCAGAACAGCTACTATAATCATTCTGAGCACTTACTCTGTGCCGGGCACTTTGCTTCAGGCTAATATCCATTATCCTATGAATCCTCACGGAAGCCCATTTCCCAGAGCAGCAA